GCAAGCAGATAAAGGCGGTACAACCACCATAATAAACACTTTTGACTACGTAGTAGGAGTCGAAACCCAACTTAAGTTCTAACCATGAATTTTATGAACTACTAAATGATGATCCCACTGAACTTTACAGTAATGAACTGACTTCACTTTGCAATAAGTTATATAACACTTTAAGGACCTTATTCCACTCAGCCCTCGTCCTTCTACTTTCTACACTATCCTGAAACTTCACAAACTCCCTAGGCTTCTATCCGATAAATTTAATTCTCTCTCTCCTAATGTCTTGTAGATATTCCGCCTGAACAGGCTAAACTGTCTAGTCAGGACACATAGGATTATCCTTCCAGTAGACTGATTATATCAGCTATAGGCACTCTACAGAGCATTTGTCAGGTTACAACCTCTCATACCTTTACCTCACCATACACCCACTTCCTCAACATACTCAAAGTTATCCCAATTCTCCCTAACAATTCAGGTGGTCACTTTGGACGTATCCTCGCTCTATAGTAACATCCCCCATGATGAAGGTCTTCAAGCACTTGCGACATTTTTACCTCGGTACTTGTTTTCTCATGAACATATTAATGACATAATAACCATTACTAATTTTATCCACACCCACAATAATTTCACACTTTAATAACAAACATTACCTCCAAAAGGGCACTGCGATGGGGACAAAGCCCCAATTATGCCAATATTTTCATGTCCAGCGCATCCTTGAATCAAAATTCATTTCATCATTCCATCTTAAACCTCGTGTTCTACCGGCGTTACATTGACGACATCGCCATAATATGGCAACACGGAGATGAAAACTTTCAGAAATTCATTGATCATGTAAACCTATTCCATTCCCATATTAAGTTTACATCTGAACATTCTCATCAATCCATAACTTTTCTGGATGTATCGGTCACCATGGTAGAGTTAAATGCCAAAATGCGCTATGTAGCTGCTCAGGGGTTCATCTGGGTTCAATTTTGGAGGGGAGGGGGTCAGAATGTTTCCAAATCCCCAAAATGAAAGGAAGTGTCCAGGGGTCCTCATCCAGGAAAATTTTGATTCCTAGACGGCAGGAAATGAGCTTTCATGACTTTTGAGGTGTCTTTTAATAACTTTTAAGTTCTTCAAAATTCAACGTTTTTCCCCTCTTGAAAACGGTCAGGTAAATTTTCTCATTCTTATTACAGTAAATAGGCCTAGGCTTATTATGTGTGTATACATACAGAAAAAGAAATTAAATAGTTGCATACAATCAAATGACCTATTTACATGTAGAGTTGTGTTGGTCACTATACAGGGAGGTACTGTGCATTTACGGGGTATATTTTCAAGAACTTGGTAGCACAAGTGTGGGGAGTTGCAGCATTTATGGGGTATTTTGCGAAGACTTTGTGAGAAATTATAACAAGAGTGAAAAAGTCCCTGGCCCGTCCCCTGTCAAAATTTCTGGCACAATTTCTGTGAGGATTTTAGCTACTGAGTGTTAAGCCCTGTGCTAAGCCTACCTTTGTTACATCCACAACAGAGATTGCGAACGGACGAAAAACTTTTCACCATTAGGAACCAGTGGCATGATTGAGTGGCATTTTTCCTGTTGTCTTTTTAGAACACACTGCGATTTCGTGTACAGTAAATGGTAGTTCAAGTCTGTATGTTTTTTTTGTATACATTGATGCCGAATAAATAATAATAATAATAAGGGTAAGTTTTGCATAATGATTTGTATTTTAAGGTTTAAAAAACACAATTTCTGCTCAGGTCCTGAAAAGTTCGGTCTCGAATTTTTTTTTGCTTGGCAGCTCAAGGGGGTTGGGGTCAGGACACTCCCGACTTCCCCACCCCCAGATCCGCTAATGCTGCTGCAACTTTATGGAATACTCCCCCAGGGAGCTTGAGTTTGTGTTCCATAGGCGTTAAATCCAATGACCAGGGGTAGTAATGTGAAGCGATTAGAGGCCTTGGTGTTAAAGCGCTATAAAAATCTAACATATGCAACAAACCATATGATGTATGATCTGCAAATTACTCATCACTGAAACTCACATTAAACTTACCTATTCCTCTCATACCATTCATCCTCCTGTCATGTCTTGTAATTCCTCTAATGTCATATGCCTTCTCACTTGCTCCAAATGTGACCATGGTACCTACATCGGGGAAACCGGTGGTATCCGCAAAGGCACCACAGACGGCTTCCCTGTAGCCAATGCCGTAGCCAGCTATTGGGACAGTTGGGACAGTCCCACACAATTTGTTTAATGGGTCCACAAAGAATGGGTCCACATTTTAAAAAATGGGTCCAAATTATGCAGTTTTAAGCATAAAGGTGGTCCACTTTTTGTAAAATGGGTCCAGGTTTCTCATATTTAGCCTAAAATGGATAAAATTTATGAAAATGAGTCCAGATTTTTCATATTTTTGCGTAAAATGGGTCCACATTGTTGGAATTTACGCATAAAGTGGGTCCACCCTGATATTGTCACACACTATTTGACAATCTTGGCTATGGCATCGCCTGTAGCTGACCATTTCATCTCGCCATAATATCAATGACATTCGGTGAGAACTAATTGCCTGCAACTTTAAATCTCAAAGAACGATGCCAATCTGAACTAAAACTCATTCTCAAACATAAGACACACATTTTTGGTCTTAATAAAGACCTTGGTATCATCAGTGAATACACATTTCCCTCATGCCGATTCTACTAATTCATAATGTTTTTACTTTTTACCGATCATAGTTCTTTCTACCGTCCCTGTTGGCCCATATATTTTTATATTTATTTCTATCATATTTATCATAGTCCACCAGCGTATTTTAATCTTATGTATATATCAGATATTTTCATTGTTTTCATTATTAAATATAGTTTATTTTTTCATACATTGAACATAATGCTTATATTTTATATACCACCACTGTAATTATACAGTTATTTATGTTCTGTTCATTTCGATCACATACTGTTATCCGCTTTTTATCTGAATTATTTTAGTATATATCATCCATATTATTATTATTATTAATTATTATTATTATTATTATTAATTATTATTATTATTATTATTATTATTATTATTATTAATTATTATTATTATTATTATTATTATTATTATTATTATTATTATTATTATTATTATTATTATTTGCTTAACCTGCATCCATTAGGCCTATGTTATCGTGATCTATTTTTTTTTTCTCTTTCGTGGGGGCAGCCCAATTTTATTAAGTCTTTCTGTTACAATATGTTATAATTCTAAATATTTTCAAACATTATGAATACTATAAGAATAGCTCAAGATACTGCACAAATTAAATATAGTTAATAAATATATGAATGAGAATATAATTATTTTACAGATTGCGATAAAATGTGATAATATTTCGAAATAAATTAGACCTTGCTCTATGAGCCTAGATATAGTAAAATAATAAACTAAATCGGTAAAATTTATATTAAACGGGGATTTACATTCAAACTATTGCAAAATAAGATATGGTATTATAATGGTAAAATAGCTACATTGGAAATTTCTAGATCTGTAAATAATATAGAGGTGTAATGTGAATATAAAAATAGCTCTTAACTATAATAAACTTATAGTACTTATACACCAAGTATATTGCGAGTTATTATTATTAAAATCATAAAATGCGATAGTGGAAAAATATAATTGGGAAAAAGAAACGTTGGCCCATGCTGCATTAATAATAATGATATTGAGATCTCAAAAGTAAAATTGATATTAAAAGCTATGAACAATAAAATGATTTGTCACTATTGCGAATATAATACATTTGTAAGATATTGATATTGCAGATTTTTAACACATTGTTAGATCCTATTTATATTTAAATTCATAAATTTGGTAATGAAGAATTATACAGAAATTTTATTGTAAAAGTAGGTTTTATACTTCAAATAAATGAAGATTAATATTGTATAGACTTATCTTACTTGACAAATTCTAAAAGTTTTTGTTTAACGTTATTCCACTTCCTTTCTGCCTTATTTGGGTTGCATGAGTATTCATTTGATATTAATATTTTTACTTCTAATCTAAATAAATTCCAAATGATCTTAGATGTTTGATTTTCAACTTTTTTAGGAGTTTTACATATAAAACATGACTTTTTAAAACAAAATGTGAACAACGAAGTTAATTCGTTTACCAGTTTGTTGTTGGTTCCGGTTATTATTGTAAAGAAGCTTAAGAAATGTTGTTCATGATTTTGAAAACATTCTATAAGCATATTATTAAATTTGCTTCTGGCAAATTGGATGGTTTTACACTTAACTAACATATGCTCTTCATCTTCGATTTCATTCTCACATTTATCACATAGGTCGGTACTGACTAAATTCCAGTTTTTAAGTCTCTTCTTACATGATAAAATGCGGTGTAACAATTTAAAGTTAAATTGTGCGACTTTTGAGACATGTCGCATACAGTTTACCTTATTATTCCATACATTTTTCGAATCTATATCTTTGTTAATGAAATTGTTTTCCCATTTTCTTTGCGCTACTGGAATAGAGGCAATTTCGATCTGATGTAATGAATTTATTTTCCCATAATTGTTGACATAAAATATCTTCTACTTTTTTAGGATTTAAGCAAACAATGTTGTTAAGTTTTACTACTGCCGTTAACATTTTTGCGTAAAAATCAGGGGTGATGGTTAAATCAATATGCTTTTCAAAATTTGGTAGGCTAATATTGAGTGTACACTCTAATGGATACAGGTTGTCTCTTATACACATCT